TAACAAGGTTACCTTCAATTTATTTATTTTCTTAACACCTTTTTGTTTCACTGCCTTTATGCTTAGATATCACATCTAATAATTATGAGAGAATTAGGTGGTTAATTTGTGGGATGGTTGAAATATGGTGAGAGAAACGTTAAATTATTGGCTAAGAAATACATCCAGTGATGTAGTTGTTTGTTTGAAATCTTGCAGAAGCATGTAGTGGATAATTGTTATGCTTAATGTATACCCTTATGTTAGTTTCATATGTTGTATGGGATACAAATGACTTCAGAAAGTGTATAATAAGACAGAGACATCATAGCTTTGGAACTAGAATACCATCCGTCAATGGTCTCAGAAACTGAAAAAGAATGATCAAACTTGAAGATTAACAAGTCAAAGTAGAACAAACATTTGTGTATATGATAAACTGATGTATAATTTGCATGATATTAGTTATTACTGCACATATGATGCTAACTTTACCCTCTTGATAACCATTCAATGATCAAAGAAAGACATGATACAATTGTATTTGATAAGAATGGTAATGTGATATGCAAGACCGAAATAACCAGGAGATGGAATCGGAGTGTTGGCAAAGGGATTATACCACTTCAATGACCAAGGGGATGATGCTTGATTATGATGCTGAAAATGGGAACTAGAGTTTTGTTGATGTACTTAAACAGGATGATGTACTTTTTAATGTAGATGTAATAGATCTTGGAAAGAGGTTTAGATGGGTAATATGGAAATTTTTTGTTGGTTGAAAATGTGTTTTGTAGTTAGAAAAGATTTCTTAATAATTATTCTACATATTTATGAGTAAAAATGGTATTCTTTTGCCTGATCAAGTACCTCATTTATTTCTCTAGAGCAGTACATTCTGGTACAAACAACATTTCTGAAACTTGATTTTTTAGGACAGCTAGGCCCTCTCATCATACCGTCAAGAATCACCTAGAAATTTTGAAGGAGACTAAAGACACTGTTAAAATATTGGGAGTTACTACAAGCTCAACATTAGTAATATCCTTGCAATTCTTTGAAACAAAAAAGAGAGTTCAGACAGAGACATTTGTAGAGGCTCAGTCAGTCTTCAGAAAAATGCTTTGCCATTTTTGGCTAAGTAGTTGTACATTATTGGTTGCAACCTTGTATCAAGAACCCACCTCATTTAATAAATAAGCATATTGGTAGTATTCCAAGCCTCACAATTTCATTGAAACATATACAAAGGGATTGGAGTACAAGATTTTCTATAAAACCAGATTTAATGGAACCATTCGGTGAGGTTCAAGATCTCTGAAAGATCTCTGCCCATAACAGTTTCTTTTATCAATAATTGTAGTTGTCTACATAATACAAATGTGTTTTCTTATGCATCTCAATGTTTGGTGTGTGTAACTTAGAATTCATCTCTTGTTTTATGTGGATGTGCCAAGATTGTTGAAATGAATTACCATATGCTAATATTACCTACTTGTTGGTTGTTTTTGATTACATCGTTGTGATAACTGGGTCTTGGTTATCACCCGAGGTAATTAATACGTGATTATTTGTTATATGGTTACGTGAAAGCATGATGAATTGTTATGTTAATTATGTGAATCATGTATTTTTATGCATAGGAAATATATATGCATAATGTGGATACATGCATGAGATTGTATGTATGTGAGTATGCATGATTATATGTATGCATGAGAATTGAAATATGTGAAAATGCATGATATTGTTATATGCATGAAAGGTGTATCATGCATAAGGTGATGCATGGGTGAGGTATGTGTAGGAAGAGGCGATTTAGCCGCCTCTCTCTTTTTAGAAAGGGGTATAAAAGGAGGGGTTAAGCCTCCTTTCATTTTTTTCTGCTGTTTTTGAAAAAGAAGTGAGCGATTTAAAAAGAAAGAGAAGAGTTGATCGAATTGCTCAAATTGGTTGGAATCAAGTAATTTCTTTTGCTAACTTTGAAGGTGAGTGGTTAAAATGTTTTGAATCTCTTTAGAATTGTATTTTGATTGTGTTTTAAAAGCTTTTCACCCGATTTAAGTTTAAATTTTAATCGGATGAATGTTGAGCGGATTAAAGTTAAACCGGACAATATGTGAGCTATTAAAGACTAAATCGCTTAGTAAATCAACCGGTTTAATCTTAAATCGGACACGTGTCAAGCGGATTAGACCTAAACCGGACATGCCTTAACTGGTTTAAAAGTAAATCGATTAATTGTGTTAGCCGGTTTATATGATGAGTGATTTATGAATTTTGATTTTATGATAAGTGTTTCAATCGGAGAAGTAGGAATACGACTATGGGGTTGACCGATTTATTTAAATCGGACATATTACCAAGATTGTTACATCGGACAAAACATGAATAGTGTTGTCCGGATTAGTAATTCGGACAAAGTGTTGAGAATTATTCCAAGTGTTAAATCGGACATAATGTGAAGTATTGTCCGGATTTGTAATCCGGCCAAGGTTTTGTCCGGATTTGTAATCCGGCCAAGGTTTTGTCCGGATTATGTGTTGACTTACCATTGTATTGATTTATTTAACAAGAAATGGGAATTTTTGATAAATATAATTTTGAACTGATAAAATTCCATTGACTGCGGTCTATTCTATATGGAATTGTTTTGTGAAATATTTTGATGGAGAAATAAGGGTGACATATCAAGGAAAGGTGTACCATGGGATAAGGGTGGCATATTAAGRAGAKGTGTACCATGAGATAAGGGTGACATATCAAGGAGAGGTGTACATTTGGATATAAGGGTGTCATTTATATGTGTGTTATGTAATATAACTCTTACTATTATATCTTTTAAGATTACCGTGGTTTGGAATCTTTATTTCTTTGTGATTTAAAGGTTTAGGATCAGGGTTCTTATTGGAAATCATAGGCTGGATGTTATTGAGGAGGAGATAACAGGTTTGGCCTGAAACTTTGAATAAACCTTATTTGATTTGAAAGACTTAAAAGTGGCATTATGATAACCTGGTAGTGCAAACCTATTTGGGATTGATGAGTTGTTTGCAAGCAGAGAATTTGGTTTAAAAAGTGAAAGGTATTGGTATTATGTTTTTACTTGTTCATATATTTGTTATATATATGAAGGGTTATTTTACATAAAAGTTTTGGTGATTTTCACCCTGCAATATCATAAATAAGGTAACTTACTAGACCTTTCGGTCTAACCCTCGTTTTGTGATTTAAATATGTATTGCAGGAAGTGCAGATGGTAAGGAAAAAGGGAAAATATGAGAATTCCCTATATGTATATCTGCATGAAGATTTGCTGATGATATTATAGTTTTGTAGATGAAATTTGATTAGTACAAGAGTTGTATTTTGAATTTTTGGACCTTGTATCCTGTAAAGATAGATCTTGTAATAAGGGACTTATGTGGTGTTTAAACATGTATTTCATGTTACATGCAATGTGTGGAATGGGGTGTTACAATCGTCGTGAGTTTTTGTTGTTGATCAACCTTGAAAACAATTTTATAACGGGGCTTGGTTTCAATCATGTGCAAGTAATTGTGTCTTGCATCCAACATTATTTAAATTGTTTGTGGCATGATAACATTATACCTTTGAAATATTTTTAGATAGATGCATTCTTCTGTATACTTCTATATTTTTTAATCATTCTGGAAAAAGAAAATTGACTTAGAGTAGGAATAATCCAAAAAAGTATCAGCAAAAAGATTTATCATTCAACGAGACTGTATAGTCACTCTGAATCTTATTCATTGCACTCATAATTGCACTAACAAGTGGGTTTGTCTTTATACACAAACGATTTGTATTTTATGAATGATTGCAGAAGTTACGAGCACCGATATTCTGGATAGATGGATATTTGAATCTAATTTAGGTACAAATGTACAAGGCTTTATGACATCTTAAGAAAAATTTGATATTTTGAATTAAATAAATCTTCATAAATTTTTTGTATCTCGCTGCATTGCACAGATACACAACTTGTTTAATAATTTAACAAAATTAAAGATCCATCATTTTAAGTTTGTTTTCGGTTAAAGGTGAAAATGGAAATACTGGTACTATAACATCTTTTCTTATTAAGAGTCATGTATACCATGTCCACGACTATAATTAGCATTAATTAAATTGTAGAGATAAAAATCCAAAAACTGCAATTTACTGTAATAATTATTTTAGGTATTTATTTAAGCGTTATAAGTGTTTATTAAATTATTTGTCGAATTAAGTGTTATATTTTTCACATAAAACAATTACTAATTATTAAAAAAATTGAAATACCGATATTTAATATAATATAATATATATATATATATATATTAAAAAATTGAAAAATTGGTTTGTCGTTGTTGGTTGGTGTTTTTTACGCCAATCATTTAAATGATACCTTTGACCTCTATAATGGACGAAGAAACCCTTCCCATTTGTTATATAAACTACGTATTTAAATGTTTGAAATATCATATTTTAAATGAAGGTTATAAAAACACGTCATAGAAAATAAGAATCAAAAGAAAATATCTTGTATTTTTATATAATTTGACCTTTTGACAAATAAATTCTTTATTTGTAAAAGTTGACACAAAAAGATAGGGCTAAAAAGGCTCTTGAAGCTCCACTTATGTCATAAATAGATGGTTAAACCTTATGTATATATCAAGATCTACTCAAAATCCCCACACAAAAGTAACCATCCAAAAAAAACTCCCAATTCATCATACTTGAGAATAGCTACAAGAAACACATAGGAATGAGGTTTTGGTGTAAAAACGAGTACTTTTGATCAGTTTATGTAAATAATTGGACTAATCAATTATTTAAAGAAATTATAAAGAAGCCGTTGGAGATACGGCTATCTAGATCTTGTAGCACTTTGGACGTGCATTCTTAGCGAACCATGATTCACCTCGTCGGAAGTTTAGGGTCAAAAAATATACACTCTATAGGGATGGTTAATGATTGTAAATGTATGTTGTTAATTAGCCAACTGCTGTATAAGTTTATCAATTCTAATGGAAGTAATATACAATTAAGCTCAAGATATGAAGATGGCAAGGAAGAATGAGAACTGATACACAGATGGTGATACACAACTGCAAGAGAGAGCTTGATCTTTTATATAAAACGAAAAAGCCAAGCCCATGTCTTAATTCAATCAGCTTTAAGCTTTAATTAGAGAAACATCTGATCCAAGATGATGACCATTGCCATTGCAACAGCTGGATCCATCTGAGAGTCATGTAGAAAGAGACGGAATACATCTCCGCCAAACGCCACACCTCCCACCGCCTCCTTCCGCTTAATCTCAGCCACGCGCCTCCGCTTGTCATCGTAAACGACGCAGCTTCTCTGCGTGTACGATCCTTCAATCTCGTACATCGGCCTCTTCGTCCTGGATCCTGTAGCGGTCACGTGAGCCAGGGACTTGGTGTTGATGAGGTTCACGCGTTTAGTCACCGTGAACCGAGGATTCACCGCCGTTTCTCCTTCGTATACCAACCAATTGTCCAAAAGGCTTAGCCTCTGTCAGAGAAACAAACTATGAATCATCAATCAATCACTCAACATGTAGGCTGTAGCTAGCTAGAGTCGGTGAATCGATTAATAAATATATATACCTTGCGACGGATGGTGAGAAGGGAGTGGCCGGAGGCGTCCATGAGGAGGATCTGATCCTTGATTCCAGAGGAGTAATTGTCGACTCGGAAGACGAGATTGCCATTAGAATCGAAGACGGTGAAGCCATAACAGTTGAAGAGCAGAGACTTCTTCCAAACGATGAGGGGAAGGAGGGTGTGGCCATGGGAGAGAGGTTGTCGGTGGTTGTGTGAAACTACCGCATTGGGGTGTACCTTCGTCATCGCTTATCAATTGGAATAAACACAGAGAGTGTGTGTGTGTGTGTGTGTGTGTGTGTTTTCTGTTTATTTGAGGTTGCAGGTGGCTTAAAAGGGAAAGAGGAACAGGTCTTATACTCATACCAAATAAAAATACAAATATTATTTTTTTTAAATAATTTTATATTTAAAAATAATAATAATATTATTATTATTATTTATTTAGTCTTAAATAATACGTTCGTAGTTAGATAGTGATGTGTGACGAGAAGTCCATTGTGGTTGGTTTACCCGTGCGATGTTGCGTGTTTATGACTTTGTTTTATGTTTCTTATCCATTTTTAATTTTTAATTTTTAATATTAATAAAACTAAAATACGTTGTTTTGTTTCTAAAATTAGTATTTTGGTATTCCATTATTTTGTATGAAAAAATCTCACATCACAAAAAAAAAGGTTACAGCAAATGAGATGGCGAATATCTTCTATCCAATCATTTTGATTTAATGGTTTTATTTAACTTTTCGTTAATAAAAGAAAGACAAGGTAGGTGAAGGTAAATGAAAATATATGTGGGTCGGTGGTCATTCTTAAAACTAGAGTTGATCATTTACAGGTTTGGATCGGACCTAACCTTTTTAATCTTCTTTGTTGGATCATCTCATTTGATTGTTGAGATATATTCTTACCTATCTGTCAATTAGTACTAGATGTGTATCCGTGCAATGTGGCGGAAGCCGTAAATTTTAACGATTTTGAAGTTTCATTGGTTTTATTAGAGAAGATTTAACGATGAAATAATTACATTTGGTCTTTACATATTAATACAATTTGATAAATAAGAGTTATGGTTCCAATTACAGTTTATCGATGGAAAAAATTGTATGACAGTTTAAAATCCAATATATTTAAAATCCAACATATTTAAACGACTTCACAAATGTGTTCGATTTACACCAAGAGCAAAGAATCAAGAGATCGAGACCGAGACCGAGAGTTCTAGAGCAATTGAATGAGAGATGAATGAGAGAACTTTTAATAACTAATGGTGAATGTCAGTTTGAATCTCACCTTGGGGATTGGGAGAAGACATAGATGTATGAGAGAGTGAAAACATGAGTGAAAAGTGTCAAAAGTATCTTGAAAACATGAAGAAGAAAAAAAAAAGTAATAATATGCCTTGTAAGTTGTACCATATGTTATTTTAATTGTAGATCAAGAGATTTTAAAACTGAATGCATAAAGTAGTAGTGTTTAATATATTATGAGTTGTTTTTAAGACTTTATGCATAAATGTATAGTACTTTGTGCATTAAAAAATGTTTTTAACACTTTTGATAAATCTGGTTATAAGGTAATATAGATAGTTATCATTAATGTCAATATACTATATTTGCTGGTATATATGTATTGATGCTTATACTCACTAATATTAATGCAATGTATATTTTGGGTTTAATCATTGGAGAACTTCATATATTGTGATAACCATGATAACCTTATTTTAAGATATTGTTCAACAATGTATTTGTTTCATATGTATGCGGATCATAATGTGAAATTTTTTTACGTGTAATTTATGTTTTACAAACAGGTTTAAAAGATTTATATTGTGAAACATATATATGTTTCAATATTATAAATCATAATCTAAGAACAATATGAGATATGATATTTTCACATGTTAAAACAAAAAAGATCATTAACAGTATTACATGTAACAATATAGAGAGTAAAAAACATTAACAATATGACAAAGGTGGTGTCTGATTGCTTTGTTGAGCTTGGTTCTAAAGGTCAAAAGTATTTGAAGGTCTCAAGTTCAAATCCAAGGAGAAATAAAAATCCTTTTGTGGTCACGTAGGTTCAAATGCGGTGACTCCAGACTACCCGGAAACATGAGATTAGTCAGCTCGCATAGCGGGTTGGATATCTAAATTAATCAAATAAAGGAAAGAAAAAAAAGCCAATATGACATATGATAATATATAAAGTAAAAACACAAAAATAAAATCATTAATAATATTACATATGATTAAAGCATATTATTTGAATAGATATAGAGGGCTTATCTTTAAATTCACAAGGATGAAATGGAGATATACATTTAGATGTTAAAAATCGAAAATCCAAGCAATTACAGAAGCTTTGACCATGATTTCAAATAAAGAACATAGGGATTTTTATTTTTATTTTTTTGTCATGGAGGTTCAAATACGGTAACATCGGCCTATCTGCAAAACAGATGGTCCTTTTAAAATTAATCGGATCGCATAGCATGTTAAAATTTTGGATATCCAGATTAATTAAAAAAAAAACATAGGAATTTTGTAATATAGAGAAACACCAATTCAATTTTAAAATGCCATTTTATTTGTGTGGCTGAAGAAAATTCTCCGGTGGTGGTGGGGGAGGGGACAAAAGAGGAAGATATTTGTTGGTGGTGGATAAGCAAAAAAATTCGATCCGCAACCGGTAACAATCCAATTAAATCTAATTTATCTAACTATTAAATTGTCTATTCGTTAATTAAGAGTTAAAATTGGGTTTGGCTTAATTTGATCTATTCAATCCGTTAATTCGTTGTTAATATATAATTTTATAAAATTTTATTTATATATATATATGTTTATTATATATATATATATATATATATATATATATATATTAATAATGTGTAAAATTTGATATATAGGTTATCAAAAGAGATACACAATCAATGAATAATGACAAATAATCTAATTAATAATAGAAAATTATTGAAATCTTTTTTTCAACAACAACAAATTTGATATGCCGGAGAATATGAATGATATTGATAAGTATTTGATTGACGAAACTATCAATCCAAATACTCCGTCATTACTTCGGTGGAAAGAAAGTGCTTAGCTACAATATTTCACTACAACAACATTATGTTTTATTAATTTATAGGATGCAAAAAATATCTAAGCGTCTTAATATGATACTTTGTAGAACGAAACAAAAAAAATGTCTTATCTAAAAGAGTTACGATATTTTTATAGGAAGATTTTGGACGTCTTTAACAATTCTTTATGACATTTTTAAAATAAAGTGTCGTATTAATTATTTTATACGACACTACTTGAAAAAATGTCATATAAACACAAGTATCCTATAAATAGATGAGTTTACTGGACACTTCTCAAAATGTTTCTACAAAATAACTAATACGACATTTTATTTAAAAATCATTCTAAAAACTTGTTGAAACGTTCAAAAACGTTCTATAAACCTATTGTAATCTTTTTAAATAGGACGCTTTATAGTTTAATCTTATAAACTTAAGTTTTATAAAACATTTCATTCGTCAAATTTATATAATTACTAACCTGCACAACCCAACCGACCTCAACCGCAAGGATTGGATTGGTTTGGTTATACTTTTGAATGAGTTAGGTTGAATTGAGATTTTTCCAAACCATCATAATTGGGTCCGGGTTGTAAAAATGTCGTAAACCGTCTAATCCAACCCGCGTACACCCCTAGAAAATATGGGTTAATTTGGTACAGTTTTAAGTTAATTTTGTTTTTAATATTATATATCAATCAATTATAATTGATAAGCAAAATTTTATATCATGTACTAATTAATTATACTTAGTATCAACTTAACAGTACCATTTTTCAGTTGGTACATGTTATTACCTGTGTTGAACCAACTTCAAAATTATATATATATAAAAACTTGTCATTATGTTCAAATATTGAATGACTATTTGACTTTTCAGGTAATACATATGATGTTTAAAGATTTTTAATCTCAAGAAATAAACTTGCAAATATTTAAATGTTCAAATAAAATAGTTAAAGTTATAAAGTTTAATATTCAATACATAAAAAATTCAAAAACTAATAAATCATCAGATAAATTAATACCATTATATTACTGTGATACACAACTTCCAATTCCATATATCAGCCAATATAGTACTATCGACTCATTATAATTACCACCAATTTAATCAATACACTTGATTTACTTGTTTCTTAATTTAATGTAATATAAAATTATGGCCCCCAATAAAAAATTGTTGTTACACGGTGGCCGGTGCCGTCCCGTAACCAAGGAATTCAACTTTTTCTTTCCAAATTTAGCCAAATCTAAGATATACTCTTATTGGTGACTGTTTCTGGTTGATCGGATATTAAGCTTACGTATTTTATATTATTAGAAAGATACTCATACAATACAGAAAGATATATTTTAATTTTAAGGTTTCATTTTAATTTTTTTTGTCTCAGTCGATGTTATAATACGGTTTTTATGTGGTTTTGAGAAACCAATAATGTTTTTATTTTTAAATAAAATATAAATATTAAGATATCATAAAAGATTAAAGGAAAAAAATATTGATGTTAGTACCAAACTAACTATTTAATTTTTTTTTTGTATATTTCATTTTTTATTTTTGGTTTAATAAGATAATTTTTTATAAAAATAATAATTAAGTATTTTGTTAGAATTTAATTATTATCTTAATTATCTTCTAGATTTTTTATATTTAAAATGATATATTTATTCTTTATTTTATTATGCTTATCCACAATTATTTATACAAATTCAAACATAAAGTTTTAATAAGTTGTATTTATGCACAACTTACTTGTAATCTTGAATATTAAGTAATATGTATTAATAAACAATACTTTACGAATAAAAAGTAAATTTTAAGAGTTTTATCAAATGTTTTATAATATAAAATATATATTTAAAATTATATTATATTTATTATTATCAAATATGAAATGAGATATTTATTTGTTAAAAAAACAAACAAATGTTGACTTATGAATTTTTAATTAATAAGAAAATCTATTGTTACTTAATTTTAATAGAAAAAAGAAACCAAAGAGACCCGTAGTGACCTTCCATGTTTACCAATGGCCACGACCGATGGCCAATAGCCACCTTATTATCATGTTAATTTATTTAAATGATTTTGATAACCAGATATTTATCATCACCCAAAATAATTATGTAATGGGTGTTTGAGATTGTTTATAAAAACAACTTGTTGACTTATTCCGGTGTGAAATCGGTTATAAACATTTTTAAGTGTTTTAATAAACAAAACTTATATC